CCAGAAACACCACAACAAAATGGTGTTGCAGAGAGGATGAACAGAACACTGAATGAGAGGGCCAGGAGCATGAGATTGCATGCAGGACTTCCAAAGATGTTATGGGCCGATGCGGTGAACACAGCAGCATACTTGATCAACAGAGGACCCTCATCTCCCATAGGTTTCAAAATTTCAGAAGAGGAATGGAAAGGTCGAGAGGTATCTCTTACTCACTTGAAAGTTTTTGGTTGTATTTCTTATGTCAAAGTTAGAGATGCAGATAGTGACAAGCTCGAGGCAAAGGCAAAGAAGTGTATCTTTATTGGGTACAGGATGGATGACATGGGCTACAGGTTCTGGGACAACCACAGCAAGAAGGTTATCAGAAGTAGAGATGTCACTTTCAACGAGAATGCCCTATATAAAGATGGTCCTGCAGCAGTTACGAGCAAAGGCAAACAACCAGAAATCAAACAGCAAGTGGTGTTTGATGGGATGACTGAAGATGACATAGCAAAACCTGCTGGTTGTGATGAGATGACTGGAGGCTCAGGGAGCAGTGGGAGCTCAGGAGATACAGGAATGTCTGAATATAGTGGGAGTGATGAAGATGGTGGGAGTTCAGAGGCAGCTACTCCACACATTAGACAGTCCACTAGAATCAGAAGACCTCCTAACAGATATTCTCCTTCAGCAAATTACCTATTGCTGACCGAGAATGGAGAGCCAGAATCTTACTCAGAGGCGCTGACCATGAAAGATTCCATACAGTGGAAGAAGGCCATGGAGGATGAGTTAGATTCACTTGACAAGAACCAAACTTGGTCCTTAGTCAAGCTACTACCGGGAAAGAAAGCTTTGGAGAACAAGTGGGTGTTCAGAATCAAAGATGAAGCGGATGGAAGCAAAAGATACAAGACGAGGTTAGTTGTCAAAGGGTTCCAACAGAAGAAGGGAGTTGATTACAATGAAATCTTCTCTCTGGTTGTGAAGATGACTACTATCAGGTTGATCCTTGGTATCGTTGCTGCTGAAAATTTGCATTTGGAGCAGCTGGATGTAAAGACTGCTTTTCTTCATGGCAACCTTGAAGAAGACATTTACATGGCTCAACCAGTAGGTTTCCCAGTGAGTGGTAAGGAGAAGTTGGTGTGCAAACTCAAGAAGAGTCTATACGGACTGAAGCAAGCTCCTAGACAGTGGTACTTGAAGTTTGACAGTTTTATGCAGCGGAATGGGTACACTAAATGCAAGATGGACCATTGCTGTTACTTGAAGAAATTCGAGTCATCATACATTATTCTTCTTTTTTATGTTGATGACATGTTGGTGGCTGGAGCAAACATGCAGGAGATCAACAAGCTCAAGAAGAAGTTGTCCGAAGAATTTGAGATGAAGGATTTAGGGGAGGCGAGACAGATTCTTGGGATGAGCATAGTCAGAGACAAGGTGGAAGGTACTTTAAAGCTTTCACAGCAAAAGTACATTCAAAAGGTCCTTGAGAAGTTCAGAATGACAGATGCCAAGCCAAGGAGTACACCGTTAGGGAGTCAGTTGAAACTCTCCAAGCAGCAGTCTCCAAAGACCAATGAAGACAAAGAAGAAATGGTTAAAGTTCCTTATGCATCAGCCGTTGGCAGCTTGATGTATGCGATGGTGTCAACAAGGCCAGACATTGCTCATGCAGTGGGAGTTGTTAGCAGATTCATGTCAAATCCAGGGAAGGAACATTGGGAAGGGGTCAAGTGGCTGCTACGCTACTTGAAAGGCACTTCTGGAACTGCTCTCTGTTTCAGGAGGAATGGGGTAATTCCAGAAGGATTTGCCGATGCTGATTTGGGGGGCTGTCATGATTCCGGGAAGAGCACTACGGGTTACATATTCACTATTGGAGGTACGACAATAAGTTGGATGTCCAGACTACAGAAGAGCGTAGCTCTTTCAACCACAGAAGCAGAATATATGGCCATTGCTGAAGCGGCCAAAGAGTTGATCTGGTTGAAGAACTTTCTTTCAGAGTTGGGCATGAAGCAGGGAGATTGTGGTCTATACTGTGACAACCAGAATGCTATTCATCTCGCGAAGAATCCGGTGTTTCACAGCAGAACGAAACACATCAAGATGCGGTATCATTTTATTCGAGAATTGATTGAAGATGGTACTATAAGTTTGAAGAAGATCCTTGGTACGAAGAATCCAGCAGACATGCTTACCAAGGCGGTGACAACGGAGAAGTTGAAGCTATGCATGGCTTCAACGGGCCTTCCAAATACTTGATGAGAAGGCGTGGACGAGAGAGAGAGAGAGAGAGAGATCAGGGGTTTTACAGAAGATACATGTTCTTGGATGGCAGATAATTGTTGACCAAGCCTCCAAGTGGGAGATTGTTGAAGATGGAGTCTTGTTCTGAATTATAAAGCAGTTACCCGACTGGGTATATTAGGTCACCCGACCGGGTATGTTAAAGCAGAGACCTGGGAACTCACTGGAACGTGAGACCCGACCGGGTCAGGAGACGGACCCGACCGGGTCAGCGAAGGTTTCACTTTCTGTTTTGGATACCCGCCCTGGTATCAACCCGGGCATGAATTTTGTGAAGAGACCCGACCGGGTCAAGGAGGGCACCCGACCGGGTCTACGTGAATTTTAATTACGGGCCTTGATTTTAATTAGGGCCTGCAGCTCTAATCTCAGTTTAGGTTTTCCTAAACCTATTTAAACGACTCTTATGTACTTGTAAACTTGTTGGGACGCCGATAATAATACATCCTCTCTCTCGTTCGCCGTGGACTAGCACAATCAAACCGATTGTGTGAACCACGTAAATTCTTGTGTTCTTGCTCTTAATTTATCGTTTATCTTTGCCTAAACGTAACATGAACTAAAAATTTAGAACTTAGGAACACATACCTTTAATTCTTTAATCAATAAGAAATATGAATCTATTCTCAAGACTAGTGTTGTAGATCGTGGATTCTAAAGGACCAAAGGCTGGTGCTGACTACTCACTGGAACGATTGGAACTCACGATGCTAGACTTTAGTGATTGGAGCAAGTCATGATTGGAACTCCCGAGGATGGAGGCTAGAGCGACTGTGGGGCAACGATGAATGAATTCGACGACATCCCTCACGAAGTTCAGATTACCTAACGAGGAGATGGAGTCAAGCGGCATGGCCAAGAAAAGCCGACAGTCGACCGAGAAGTTAGGGTTCATAGAAGGAAAGCTGATTAGTGATATAATTAATGATGTGCGCCTTCAAATATACTCCGTAAAAAATGTAGGAGTGTCACTTCATGATGCTGATGTAAAAAATGTAGGAGTGTAAGAAAGTGTCACTATAAAAGTGTCACTGTAAGCCTATTTTCTAGTAGTGGCAATTTTCTATATGTGATTAAACTTAGCGGATTAAATTTATATATATGAACCATTAACTTATATAGTTTTATTATGAATAAAGTTGTAGGTTTTGTGATGACGAGAAATCGAAAATATGGTTTAGGATGTACAAAGAGAAAGAACAAGCTCAGAAAAGATTTAGTTATAAATCGCTTATCGGCTTTATAGATTGGTACGTAAACACAAAACATTCTCCTTCATAAATTTTTCCCTCAAATATGATTGAGAATGAGGGTACAAATATCGAGTGTGAGGATGTAAGTTGTCACAAAAATGGACAAATGTGGGTGATATAAATGATAATGTCCATATTGGGAATGAAAATGACAATGTAAATGATGGTAATGAGAATGAACATCTTTGGGGTGAGAAAGAAATTATAGATGGTATATTGTTATGTTGAATAAAACATATTCAAGTGAAACATCTATATGACTGTTTAGGGCCTCATAATTGCTCCAGATGCCCCTGACTTTGAGCACGACAACCATTAATGATAACCCCTTTTAAATTGGGAACCGATATAAAAATTAGAAATTTTAATCCGCACCTTTAATATTTCAAAAGGGTTAGAATCAATAAGGTGACATTTTTGTAGTAATTTCATAAATGTATACAGCCCTCTGTTGAATTTTGATTAATTACACAAAGTGCCACATGCGCATCGTAATCACGGATTGAATAAAATGAAAGGTTACGTTTAGATCAAAAGTTCTTATCATAAGAAGTTCTCATTTTAAGTAGGGTTCTCACTCAAACTCCTTATATAGGTAATATATTTATAATGTATATGTATGTGTAGGATCCATTTCCGATGAGAACATTTTTATCATGGAAACAAAGATGATCTAAAAAATGCACATTAGTGTTCACGAAGATGCACATTTATAGTTAAAATAATGCAAAGTTCAAACATGCACACTTGTAATTAAAATAATGCAATGTTCAAACACACATTTTCTAACTTATGATAGTGCACATGGCATTGATAATCATTCTCAACTAATCCTAAAAATTCAATCATTTAACTCATAACAAACTAATATCAAAATATCAAATAAGTGACTGTATTTACAAATATCATTTCTTAGATGTTCCCCGGCAGAAAAAAATCATTTATTAGATGATTCAATATTTGTTTTTGATATAAGCCGCGATTTTTGGTAGAAAAATAGCCTAGTGTTATTAAAAATGTTTCTAAGGTACATATTAGGGTTCCTATTATTCATATTAGGAGTATTATTTAAAATTATTTTCCAAAGATTTGGGAAGCTGGTTGTTAAGGATGCTTTTACTTGGACTGTAATTTGCTGGTCTGGCCTGGTCTGATCTGGTCTTGTCTTGTCTGGTAATGCCTGGTTTCTTTGTATTCTTATAACTATCCAAGTCTGGTCTGGTCTGTTCTGTTCTAGTCTAGTCTGAACTGGTCTGGTCTAGTAATGTCTGATTTCTTTGTATTTTTAAAATTATCCAAATCTGATATGGTCTGTTCTAGTCGAGTCTGGTTTGGTTTGGGAGAGATTAAGGTCTAAGTAAAATCATCTAACTCGTTAATTAAAATGCTTAATTGCCTGTATCCATTCAGCCATCATTGCACTTCTTTGATTTCAGCTACTCTTCTACTCATGGCCTCCTCCATCAACCCCACCCATTTATCTACTCTCACTCAACCATTGGAGAAGGTCTGTACCCCCTTCTCATCCAAAATCCTACAAAAACCCTGCCGCCGCCAGCCGCCTCCCCGCCACTACAAAAAATTCCACGGTCAAAGTGGCGGCGGCGGCATCTAAGTATCCGATTTCCAACACCGGATTTCAAAAAGATGTACATGACGTGGATTTCTTCGGCTCATACTTTAATGATGAAGGTCACAACGACCATCTCCGGGAAGAGTGCGGCGTTATAGGAATCTACGGCGACCCGGAGGCCTCCCGCCTCTGCTATCTAGCTCTCCACGCCCTCCAACACCGCGGTCAGGAAGGAGCCGGCATCGTCGCCGTCCACGACAATGTTCTTCAACACATCATAGGCGTCGGATTGGTCTCAGTCTCTCAGACGTCTTCACCGAATCCAAACTCGACCAGCTTCCCGGTGAAGTGGCCATCGGACATGTCAGGTACTCTACCGTCGGCTCCTCGATGCTTAAAAACGTTCAACCGTTTGTCGCGAGCTGTAGGTTTGGTTCAGTCGGGGTGGCTCACAATGGCAATTTAATAAATTACGAAGCCCTGCGTGCGACCCTAGAGGAAAACGGGTCAATTTTCAATACGACCTCAGACACAGAGGTGATTCTTCACCTCATTGCTATATCAAAGGCCAGACCTTTCATTCTTAGAATTGTAGAAGCATGTGAGAAGCTCGAGGGAGCCTATTCTTTGGTGTTTGTGACAGAAGATAAACTAGTAGCTGTTAGAGACCCTTTAGGATTTAGACCATTAGTAATGGGTAGAAGGAGAAACGGGGCCATAGTTTTCGCTTCTGAAACATGCGCTTTAGACCTAATTGAGGCCACATATGAGCGCGAGGTTCATCCCGGTGAAGTTGTGGTGGTTGATAAAGAAGGGGTTCACTCACTATGCTTGATGTCTCGCCCAGAGTCCTCCAAATCATGCATCTTTGAGCACATTTACTTCGCTCTCCCAAATTCTGCCGTTTTTGGGAGGTCTGTTTATGAATCTAGACACAAATTCGGACAGATACTGGCAATTGAATCCCCCGTAGAATGTGATGTTGTGATTGCGGTCCCCGATTCCGGAGTTGTGGCTGCACTAGGTTACGCTGCTGAAGCGCAGGTCCCGTTCCAACAAGGGCTAATAAGGTCACATTATGCTGGTAGAACCTTCATTGAGCCGTCACAAAAGATTAGAGATTTTGGGGTGAAACTCAAGCTCTCGCCCGTCAAAGTCGTATTAGAGGGGAAAAGGGTTGTGGTTGTTGATGATTCTATTGTTAGGGGGACCACTTCGTCAAAGATTGTTAGATTGTTGAAGGAGGCAGGGGCTAAGGAGGTGCATATGAGGATTGCAAGCCCTCCGATCATAGCGTCTTGTTATTACGGGGTCGACACGCCGAGTTCAGAAGAGTTGATATCGAACCGGATGAGTGTGGATGAGATTAGGGCATTTATCGGATCAGATTCACTTGCGTTTCTTTCGATAGATAGCTTGAAAAGGCATCTGGGGACTGATGACCAGAATTTCTGCTTTGCGTGTTTTTCTGGGAAGTACCCGGTCCTGCCAACGGGAAAGGTGAAGAGGGTTGGGGATTTTATGGATGATGGGTTGAGTGGAAACATGGGGTCTGTCGATGGAGGTTGGTTTCACAAAACTAAGATTCTGAACGAGGATGAAGGTGAGATAGCAACTGCCACATTTTAACTCATCAGTTTAAATAAATGATTCTGAACTTCTTCAAGGAGGGTGTTTGATGCTTTAATGGGATCCATTCTGCCAACATCACTATTGTGTTTGATATTGCTGCAACTATCGCAATCCAGTGTCACAGTGATGCTAGTTTACGGTGGTCCTAGTGGTTAGAAGTTGGAAGTAGAGATATCACTAATCAGATAACTCAGGATAGAACTGGTTGTTTAGACTTTAGAGGCTGTTCCACATTTGTTTTAACCCTTCCATCTGATTTGATTCATGTTGCACTATAAGTCTATAACCTTGTTTGATCACTTTTTGTTTAATACTAAGGTTTTAGATGTGTTTTTTTATTACGTAGTACTATAATCCGCCTTGATGACTATTGCTTGGAACCTGGATAATATGTGTATAAATGTACAAACTTACCAAGTATAAATGTGTCGGAATTTTATCAATCCTTAATTAAAATCTAAGTTAAGTATCAATTTAGAACCAAAATGATGAAAAATGTTGATATATGACACTAATGATGGAAAATCTAAGACTTAAAATATCTGAATGTTATCTTTTGCTATTTTGATTTTTTTTACTCTATTAAATTAATAAACTTTTGTGAATAAAAATATATCAAAACATAGCAATAAAAAATGAAAGAAACCAAAATCTAGAGAAAAGGGTCAAATAAGGGATTGTAGTATACTCAAATCGTCACACAAATTCATCTACTCAAAAAGTTTCACAAGCATATGCTTACTTCTATAAAAGAAGCAGATGAGCTCTTGTAACCTACTAATCTCGGTTATTGCTTATGTGGCCTTATTTTAGCCAATCTTTTCTCTCCTACCACGTCAGCCGCCACATAGGTTTTAATTTTTCAAATTTTGACATGGCGGTAAAAAATAGAGATCGGCCGTGTTCTTCTACTAGGTTTTGGTAAAAGATGAATTTCACAATTGGGACGACAAGATTGAGATTGATTCTTCCCTTTTGCTGCTTGGGTTGGAATTTGCTTCGTTCATCTGCGTGTACTGACTGTGTAAGGAAATTAAGCTAGTGTACTATCTTAAATTCGAAATCATTGGTCATGTTTAATTGGGAACGATTTTGGAAAAATTTGGTATATCTTTCTTTTTAGGTGAAAACAGTTTACTAGCTTCTATTTTGCATTAAAATTCGAATTTACATTTATATGTTTGGGTGGCTTGAGTATGTTGAATTTGTTTAGTGTCTTGCAGAAAACAATTTTTTGCTGTTTGGTATGTGTATAGTGACTGATTCGAATATCGAATAGCGTACTACATGAAATCAGCATAAAATGTATTTGGCATTGTGTTTATTAGAATATTTTTGTAAGCCGGTCTGAAAATACACTATGGTTTGGATTAGAGCTGGACTCGGGCCGGTTCGGGCCCGGTTCGGGCCTGGGCCCGGCCGGGCCCCGGGCCAGGAAAGGGGAGGCCCGAGCCCGAACCGCCGGTGGCCGGTTCCGGTTCCGGTTCCGGGCCAAACCGGGCTGGGCCGGGCCAAACCGGCCCAATTAATTTTTTTTTTGTTCTCCTATTTAATCCCCTACCCCTCCCCCTCAACCCCAAACCATCCCAAACCACCTCAAATGGCCCAAAATACCTAATCCAACCTAAAACTTAAAAAAAATTCAAAAAATAAATAAATTAAAATCCGGCCCTGACCGGGCCCGAACCGGCCGGGCCGGTTCACCAAAAGCTGGGCCCGAGCCCGGACCGCCCAGCACCCGGGCCGGGCCAAACCGAACCGGTGGACCCACCGGGCCACGGGCCGGGCCGGGCCAAACAGTGACCGGGCCGGTTCGGTCCCGGGTCGGGCCGCCCGGCCCGAGTCCAGCACTAGTTTGGATATTCTGAGTTAGGGAAAATCAACATAAAAATAAATGTTAACAGTATAGGGGAGTAACCGTTTGAAAAGCATACTTATCCAAGGTTTCAAACAATTGGCATGGGACTGAAATTTTGTATAGGTTATACCTTTTGGAAATGATTACTTTCTGAACTTACACTCAGGTTTACTGGTTTGGCTTAAAACAACGGATTAGGGCTTAGGTGAGGCAATGTGCCGCTGGAGTTCAATGACCTTATATGACAACTTGACAATTTTAGTTGAGTTGGTATAGTTATCCTTATCATTTCAAAACAGATAATCACCATTAACATTTTATCATATAAAAACAGGTAATCAAATAAACTGCTAGTGTGATTTTGGCTGAAATAATGCTTCAAAGTCCTTGGTTAAGTTGCTGAATCAAGTCAAATAAACTAACGTTTCAAATATTAACTTACAGTTTACAAGTTAACAAGTTTACTGATACAATGAGTTCACAGTATTCTGAGGCAGTTTACCAACTTATATCTACCCTAAATATGCAGGGCTTAGTGAATGTGATCAATGACTTTTCTTTAATTCCGAGTATATAAACTGTTGCGAACAATCCAACCATACGTAGTATATGATAGTACTTGTGAACTGGAGTAAAAACATAAGGGAAAGGTGCTAAAGAAGCATTTTTGGTTGTGCGCTAGAAGCACCACTGAAGCTGAGTTTGTTGTAGATGAAAGCCCTTATGAAAAGTACAAACTAAAACTTCCAATTCTTTTAAACCATTAAGAGATACGTAGAGGGCCTTATGTGTCACCATTTACACATGAAAGATTTGGCAATCTCTTGAAATTCACATGTCAAATGACATATACCGAACAGAAAAACAATTCCAAATTCGGTAAGTAACTGAAAATTTTCAACTTTTTGAACCCAACCAAACGTATGATATCATAGTTTAAAGTTTAATGTAAAAAAGAAATGGCATTGAAGTCTACATGCAAAAGAAATGGTATTGGGGGTGTTGGGGTTTATTTATAATTAGTGCATTGGCTTATCCTTTTCATAAGGTATTGCAAAACTGAGACTCATAAGAGGGACACTACCAAGTAAGCCTCATGCAAACAGATCTATGCCCCAGATTTTCTCCAATTGATTGGTCCTAGAGTTTCTGTCTATGCTCTTGATCAGTTCCATGTCCTCTTCACTAAGATCAAACCCAAAAACATTTATATTTTCTTGAAGTCTTGCAAGATTTGACGACTTTGGTATCAGAACAGTGTTTCTCTGGATTCCCCAACGCAGCACAACCTGAGCAACTGTTCTTTCATACTTCTCTGCTATGCCCTTTTACACATACACATGATAGTAGAAAACATAATTATCAATGCTTTGAAGATATAAGACTATTTAAAAGAAAGATGGTTTACTTTGAGGACGGGGTCTGTAAGGCACGACACTGAACCAAACAGTTCAGTGTTAGCCAGAGCACCACTGAGAGGCGTGTGGGCCGTAACGCAGATTCCGTGTTTTTGACAGAACTTGATCAGCGAATTGCGCTGGAAGTAGGGGGATGTCTCAATTTGGTTCACAGCAGGCTTGACCTTTGAATATGCTAAGCAATCGCGAGTAAGGAAAATATCATAGTTGCTGCACACAAGATTTGGCAATGCTATATGATCAAACTACATGCAAGCTATAGAGTACTTGGTGTCAAATTGCAGTTGTACATTTTCTACTAGGGAATACTCTTTTAAGAACTGAACTATTTTTCTTTTCAACACAAGTAGCTTTTGATTAACACTTGTTTATGTAGTTGGAACATATAGGTCCTAATGTTCCAGAAATGGAAGTTGTACATCCTTCCTTTCTGAAAGTCGCAAATAATCAATATCAAATGGACGACAGGCAAGAGTCTGGTGAGAAATAACTTAATAACGTGTCGGGGGCGTCGATACAAGGTGTAGAGAAAAGCTCTTACAAACACAATTTAGATTGCTGGTCCAACACGGCAACACCGGTAACATCTACAATTCTACATTGTAAAGGTGTTGCGCCTATAACAACATGTCAACATTAGGCCGAAATCCCCACTCTTTTACTAAAATACGTAGTATAATATTGCGTATTTTATTAACCCGTTTTGTGAAAAGTAAATGCTGCATCCGCGACCTCAATTGCAATTTTAAAAATCATGCTTACTGTGAAATGTTGTGTGGATCCATTTAAGAATCAATAAAAACTTTAATACAATCACATTACCATTGGCCTTTGATTTACATAGTAGGCTATTAGCAAACCATCAGGAAGGAGCCCATGATAATCCTATTTTGTGCACTTTGTTCTATTTAGGATTGTCATGACAATCCATGACAATCCTATTTTAGTTCTATTTAAGAAATTTACTCATATTTTAAGTGTGTCAAAGGTTAATGCAACACATGTATGACTAATTGACACCTAGTATTATAGCGAATATAGGAAAGTTATATAGTTGAAAAGACCACAAAAAAAATACTTCCTCCGTCCCGAAAAGGTTCGCCAAATTAACTTTTCCTAGTCAATGGCAATCAACTTTGACTAATGATATTTTCTAATACAAAATGATCTTGAATATGAAAATTATTTCAAAATGTTCCTTATTCAAAATATTTTCATAACAGAATAAAATTTAATAATTTTTCATAAATATAATAATTAAAATCATCGTCCAAAGTTTAACATCATTGACCAAGAAAAGTCAATATGTCGAACCTTTTCAGGAGAAGGTAGTAGTTAATAGGGTAATAATGTCATATGGAAATTAGTTTGTTATTTTGTCATATATTGTTATTAATTTACATGGACATCTCTAGTTTGAGATGTAGACAAGAATAAACTTACTCCGTATTATTCTATTTTAGCCAGTCGGCTTATTAACATTTTATGTTGTGAAGTGGTTAGTGTGATTAATAATTTGAGTACAATAATTATTCGCATCTTTATAGGTCTGGGATAAGCTCGGTGCTTTAGTGTTTCGAGAACCATCTGAACAAATGTTAATATATCAAAAGTTTTTTTTTTTTTTTATAAAAATGTATAAAACCGTTGATATCATATCATCACTTTGGTTCTTCACTTCTTCTGGAGCTTAATTAATCCAAAGAAAAACTCAATATTAAGCACGGTATAGTCGCATAGAAACAATTCAAACAAATAACCAAGTAAAAAGCCATCAATATGGGGGGACATTAAATGGTGTACACAATGTAGATTAGTTAATTACAAAAATTCTAAAATTTAAGTTTAAATGTCTATGTTTCGAATAAAAATGAATAGGCACATATACTACGTACTACATAAGTAAACTATATAATAACAACATAAAAATGAATGATACTACGTATGTTTTTTACTGTATAGAAAAATCTTAAGCTAGAGAAAAAGGATGTGGAATTGTGGAAATCTAATGGAATGACAAACTATTTTTCAGATCACAACGGACCCGTTACCCATGAGTGATATAAGAATTAGTATAACGTAACGAACAAAGTAATGCATCAAGTGAAGCCTAAGACACAACTTTTTTAAGTTAGCATGTGTGCAATAAGAAAGTAAAATAAAACTTGCGTGTTTGAAAATTTGGAGATATATGGCTGAATAGAAATATGCCCAATAAAAAGTTGACAAAATTCAAGTAACACTATAATAAGAAAGCTCATGAGTGACCTGAGTCCAATACTGCGAACCAAGCCCTTGAAAACAAGATTTTCCATGGCATGCCACGTAGCCTCCAACGATATAGTGGTGTCTAGATCCATAACTCCATCCTCCCCCATCGGGATTGAGCTTATACCAACTCCTGTGCAATGAAACGAATTAATACATACTCTCTCCGTCATTAATGTACAGAAATTGCATAATATAGAATTAAAACATATACAAAGTTAAAAAATAGGACTAAGTATGTTTTATTCCCAAATAAGACTTATTTAGTTGTACTAAAAGAGTAAGTTTGTTAAAATAGAAGTGAATTGGTCCTATTTTGGGAATTAAACAAAGAGAGTTCTATTTATGAACTGAATCTTTCTTTTAGTTCTATTTAGAGAATTTTCTCAATAATGTATTTCCCAGTTTGACTTCACTAGTTTGCTGTAAAACTACGTTTTAAATTGGCTTTCTAAATATCTGTTTCCCTTAAAGTATGACAGAGAAAATGAATAAAAGAGTATTTCACCACTCAAATATTACTACTACCATAATACGTACTATCCTCCGTCTCTTTTTAATCGCAACATGTTGAATTTTACACTATTCACATGTTCTACTTTGACTACATTTTATATTATTATTTTATGAAAAATTATTTTTTTTAAAAATATTGTTCAATTCATCTCATTTCAAAATCTAATTTGTAATTTTTTTTTACTAATAGAGATTAAGATATAATTACGGTCAAAGACATGCATTGACAAGTGTAAAATGTTGACCGTTGCAACTAAAAAAGAACGGAGGAAGTATATGATACTAACTCGTATTAGAAGAAACAATGATTATATACTCCGTTTATCATAAATGGAGTATATAATCATACATTAGTAGTACGTGCACATATCCATGCATGTTGACCTGTATGTTTAGTGGCAACAGGGAAGTGAACAAGGTAAAGATCCAGGTAATCAAGACGTAGCTTTCTCATACTGGCTTTACAAGCCTCAAGAACATGACCATGGTCCGAGTTCAACAACTGCATGCATGGGCAAAATGTCACTTGCAAATAACACCAGATCTCTTTTCAGATCAAACAGATTGAATCTTACATTACTGGCACCCTCTATTTTTTGAAAAATATTATCCAACTCTTCTCATTTTAAATTTTCAAAATCCATATTTTAAAATTTTACCTAATATATCGATTTAAATATATTACTATGACAACCAAAGGGTTAAAATTAAAAAAAAAATGAACGTCAGAGGTATATTCCGATGTATTAAAATATATCAAAAGTGATATATAGCAAATTTTCACAAAAAATTCAGTTATTTATTTTAACTCATCAAAACATCAAAAACTAATATCGAAATATCAAATAAGTGATTGTATTTCCAAATATCAATTATTTGATGATTTGTTATTAGTTTTTGATGTCTTAAATGGCTGGATTTCTTGTAGAAAAGTGACTCTATTTTATTTTTGGTTTACATTCTCATAGTTGATATTATTAAAATTTATTTCTAAAGTATGTATTATTCTTGATTCATGGAAGATAATTGGTATTACTGAAGTTATTTTCCCCAAATTAAGTAAAAGTAGTAGACAAAAATATGACCCTAGTAACTTTTTTTTATCATGACCCTAGTAACTTTATTGTATAATAGTATTCAAATGTTACGTTACATTATCTTAGTAACTATAAAACTTATACATAAGACTTATATTCACATTTTAATTTTGTCAATAGATCTTTTACTAATAATATTTTATGAAAAAACTTCTTCAATTCAAATGATGTTGTTAGACCAAACGAACCTTAGTTGTGACAAAAAGATCTTCCCTCTTGACTATTCCAGTACGAAGAGCCTCCTCGAGTGCCTCCCCTACCTCCGTTTCATTATCATATTCAGCTGTGCGTAGGCATGGAATACACCACTATTACTCGTATAATTTAGGTATAGGTAAACATTCTCTTGCTAAATTCTATTACCTCTGTTTCGGTGAATTTTGTCCAAAGCAGGTGAGAAATAAAAAAAAAGTAAAAAATGTGTACGTAATTGAGGTTTGTGTAGAGGTGAGATAAATGAGCAGAATCACGAAATAGTTGCGGGCTTTAATATAAAAGTGACAGAGTATAATGTACTCCCTCCGTCCCAAGGAGAAGTTCCCAATTTCCTTATTTGGATGTCCCAAAAGAAACTTCCCATTTCCCTAAATGGAAAGTTATCCTACATTAAAACAGTGCTAAACAGTGCCAAACAGTGTCGAAACAGTGCCAAACAGTGTCGAAACAGTGCAAAACAGTAAAATTTACCCCTCAGTAACTTTATTTCCTAAAAATGTGTGAAAGTCAACCCGGGAACTTCTCCCTGGGACGGAGGGAGTATAATCTACTACCTCCGTCCTAAAAAGGTTCGTCATATTGACTTTTCTAGGTCAATAATTACAAATTTTGGACAATAATTTTAGTTAGTATATTTGTATATAATTTATAGATTTTATACTTTTATGACAAATATTCATAATAAGGAACATTTTGATATAATTTTCACATTCAAAATAATTTTATATTACAAAATATCATCGGTCAAAGTTGATCTTCATTGACCAAGAAAAGCCAATTTGGCGATCCTTTTTCGGGACGAAGGGAGTATCATATTATATTGTTCGGTAATGGTCAAGCCATGGAGTGTAGTCTCAAAGGGTCAAATGAGGAGTTTTGAGTGTGGAAAGTACTTACGGAGTATTTAATTAGTCATACAAAACTTGACCAAATGTGATGAAATGCATGTTTCTGTGGAAAGTAATATCATCCCAAGACAATAAAAGAATTTACTAAGAAAATGTATATTATCTACCTTTTAAACCTTTGACTAGCTACTAAATTAAACAATATTCATAAAATATAAAACTCAAAACTTTCATACAAATATACTCAATCCTTCTCATATAACTTCATGAACTTTTCTTATTCAAGCTAAGAAACCTTTCCTACTCTACATAAATAACTCCTACCTCCAGCCGGATTTAAAGTTCCGGCTTAATATATAATCCAGCCGGATTTAAAGTTCCGGCTTAATATATAATTGTGATGTTACAATTAAATTGTGATTTAAAAGTGTTAATTGTTTTTAAGAAAATACTTCGTAATTGATAACTTGTATATATATAAATAGGTGTTCAAAAGTGGGAATTGAGAACATTTCCAAAGAGTACGTATATAGGAATTACCTGCGCAGTCAAAGTGACGATAACCGAAGTTAATGGCGTTGATGATAACGTCTTTCATTTGTTTGCCTTCAATACGCCAAACGCCGAGACCAACCGCCGGTATTTCGTAGCCGCTGTTCAGAGTGATCGCTGCCACCGCCGCCATTTCTCAAAATGCTCGATCTCAGCTATTTCTTGACGCCTACGTACCAACTATATATGTTAAAACTAATATTAAACGGAGAGAAATATGTATTGAGGAGTTGTTAGGAAAGCATTATGATTCGTACATATTATCAAACCTTGATAATCAAAGAGAGAGAGCTAGAATGGATGGCCCATGCATACAATCAAAATAATGAAAACCAAATTTAATATAGTTATATACTTATATGCAATCTCAATACTCGCCCTCAATCAAGGTGGAGTGTGAAGGTTATGAATACCCAACTTGCTCCGGAGAAACTGAAAGCGATCTATGTCAAGTGCTTTAGTAAAGATGTTCGCGACTTTATTTGCTGGGAAATTGAATATGGTTGAATTTCATTACTAATCACCCTTTCTCGCACAAAAAACAGTCAATTTCAACATGTTTGTGCGTTCAATAAAATGCTCTCTTTAGTTTTTTCTACAAGTAGTATACTGTATACCTAGCTGGCTCATTATACTCCACATATTTCAAAATAAGATAATATTTTCTTACTAAATTATTACTTCGTATTATTATTATACGGAGTATGTAATAATACAAATATAGAAATGCGACACATTTTGGTATAAAACCCGTAAAACATTATTTTATGGAACTGTCCAATACTTTTTAAATACAAACTTTAAGGAAGTGCATTCAATATAATCATCTTACATAGAAATGTGTGACAAAAGAGAAAATGACACCAAGGAAATACTACTAGTATTAGTTTGGAAGGTAAGGAGTAATAAAACTCTAATAGTTAACGCAAAGTTTTTTTAATTCAGTATTCTACATTTATAGAAATTACTTTTTTAAGGGTACCCACATCCATAGATTATTTTTGGGATTATTTTTTATGATGTGGAAGATTTTTTTGGGGATCATGGATGTGGAGTTGAGGTTATTTGATTAAATAATCTGGTATCAAATTTTAAAGCTGGATTATTTTGAGATTATTTCCAACTTCTAGGTTATACTCATAATTACTCACTTCACGTGGCACTAGTATCGATATTTAAAGTACTGCATGCGGCTATAGTTGCTATGTACTACGTATTTACAAAACACTCACTTTGAACCGAACTTGGATTAATTTACGTTTGATTGAACCCAACTTTGAGTACTGCATGCACTGCCGTTGCTATCCAACCATTTTCTAAGATGAAGATCAACAATGATTCGTATATGACATGCTTCGTAATTAAATTGTAATGTGTGAACAATGGTTAATTTGTAATTATCTAGGTACTAAATTAAAACACATTAATTAAAACATTTTAAATGCATGTTTAATGTATTGCACTATATATATTTAAAAATATAATATAGTTTTTGCATGTAGAGTGCATGTGAGTGTGTGAGTGCATTTAAGTTAGAGGTTTTGAAATTAAGTGTATGTCTCATAAAAAATCTAGGTAAATTAAGATCATGAATGAGGAAAAATTTATAGGTTTGGGGATTATTTGAGATTATCTGATATGGAGGTGACATGACAACAATAAGCCATGAAAAACCGTAAAGATGAAGATCATCAATGTGGATGCTCTAAGGTGAGAATTCCGGTACGCTTTTAAAAAATGGGGTACCGTACCTATCATTCACTTGATTTGTCCAAATAGGTATATCATTTTTAATTTAGATTTAAATAATTCAACTGCAACATTCTGATTGGTCCATGTGGATAAATGTATGGTACATGCGGAGAAGCCACTACAAGCGGGGAAAGCGCTGGGGAACACTTTCCAAATTTATTTAAAACTTGAAGTTACTGAAATTACTGATATATATGTAGGAGAAGTTTAATAGTGAACAGGGACTAAAACATAGCTGGTTTACTTAAATTGACAATTAAATTTAATTTTACTAAACATAAATGTTTAGACAAGATTTCTCCCCTCTGCCCATAATTATTCATGGTCACCTTTTTTAATTTGCGAAAACATTGTCTTCTTCACTACTCGAAATTAATATTGTCATTTACCCATGGACACATCTAAAAACTTATAAGCATCAATGATGGTTGGGATATTTTAGGAATAATAAAAATGTTGGTGTAACACTAAAGTTAGATGCACTTGTACAATTTGTTTTAGTTAATGTACCATTCATTATAATCTCTCTATCTTCTCCTTACCTCCGTTAAAACCAAACGGTTTAGTTTCCAACATTCGTACATGTTTCTTTAGGCATTTTAATTATTATTGTATCCACTTAGATTTATTTGATTTCCATCCAATATATTCACTTGATTTTACATATTGAAATTTTCTATACGTTACCAATAGTATTGTGTGTATAAGATAAAAATTAATCTTGGGTAAGACTTAGCCTCTCCACATGTCATTTGGTTTTCACCTAATAAAGTTTGCTAAATGTTCTATGTTTAAAAAAAATATTGTTTTTATATGTACGTTAATATAAATATATAGCCATAAGTTCTTGCTAAAGTTATGAAATATTATTACATTATTAATTTAGAAGGTTAAAAAATTATTACTACCAGTTACTTCCCTCAATTTTAATTTTGCTTAAATTATTGGGTTAAAAAAAAATCAGTGTAACTTGTTTTTAAACAAATACCTTTATACTGGCCAAGTCGATTATACCGTCCTGGGCTCCTGGCCACTCCATTCTTAAGGAAAAAATATATAGAAATTACCCAATATAGGAGTAAATATAAACCATTGCCCAAATAAGAGTAAAATTTAAAACTTCCCTGAATAGGAGAAAACATTAATTTTCTACCCTTAATTCTCTACCATTAATTAAACTATATTACTAATACAAAATTCAATTTTATGTAAATTTTTATTTTGTCCCTTTCAGAATGAAACGACTGAGGATGTTTTTACTTGGACCGTGACTTGCTGGTCTGGTCTGATCTGGTCCGATCTGATCTAATCTGGTATGGTTTCTTTGTATTTTTATAACTGGTCTGGGCTGTGCTGGTCTGATCTGATCTGGTCTGGCCTGGGATATATTACAATCCAAGTAAAAACATCTTAATACCAAGCAAGACTTTACGAAGGATTGCGAAAATAATTACTTCAAAACTACACTTTTTTTTAATTAATCTCTTACGTAATAATAAGAAAAGGTAAGTCTGCATGTTCTATTGAAAATGCTTACTTCAGAACTACACTTTTTATTAATTTCTTGTGGTCGCAAAGGTTTTGTTGCATCTCTTTGTTAGAAGCCGTTCTAATGATTTTAGAGCATGTTTTGGGACCTTGTTTTTGTCTTATCGGCAAACTTTTTCAACAAATACGTAGCTTTTGATTTTGTGCTCTCAGTTGTGTAACAATAAGAAAAGATAGGGTTGAAGTTAGTTTTATGAATGTATTGGCTGAAGATCACTTTCGCTGTTTTTCATATATTATATTCTTTATTTTATTAACAAAATATATTATAATTTTTTATTTCTTAAATCAGCACAATCAACCAATAAATCTGATTGGGTATCACCAAACGGGCTCTATTCTTATTGTTGTGTACCATAAAGTTCAGTTAGTTGTCCCAAAAGGAAAGTTAGTAAATAATAAATCTGTCTTCAATAAAAAGAATATAGAAATCAATTTCACTTTCACAGGAATTTCACTTAACCTTTCTTCCATTTTGTTGATTTTAGTTTCATGTAGAAAATCCGAAATAACAAGGACCACCATGAACCTTTAAGAGAAGCATGAATCATGAATTCATGATATCAATACCATCCAACAAGGGTTTCTAAACAATATTTTAGGTAACTTTTTAAAAATCTCTATGTAAAGCCATTTGAAAAATAAAGAAAAAGAGATCACCCTATGTAAAGAAAAGCCATTTGTAAAAAAAAATCTCTACGAAGAAATCACATGAACAATGGTTAGCATGTCCGTAATTATGTATTCAGAGCTTTTTAGGCATGTTACTAGGTTGTATTCCCCTGTTGGCACCCTCAGAACTAAAGGAAAGTTTTACATATTGTGGAAGTCCATTAATTTATAATACCAATGTGATAATAAAACTAGACAATATTTAGCATAAAAACCTCATTCTATATATTTTAAATGAGCAGATAAGTAGCTCAATGATTAAATGCTTATACACTTCATAATTCCTCTCCCACATTGGACAAATATGATTCAACCATTTTGTTTGTCCAAGTATTTCCTTTAAATTTGAAACAACTTAACATTTTTAATTTATTCCATCCATTCCGTTAATAGTAATATATGTGGTACAAGCTAAGAAATTGTTTGGGCATAATATCGTACAAAATAATAATTGCATAAATACAATAACGAATGTTGAAATCATAGATCACATTGGGCATTTTTCTATCGCGCAACGCGCGATACAAAACTAGTACATATATATAACGCTAACGAGCTAGCAATCCTAGCATGGATACTCGTTGTAATGTCCGTTCATTCACTCATCATCCTCACTACCAAACCCGGCCTAAGCTCCCTACCCATCAGAGCACCTTCCTAATATTATCAATGTCCATTATTGCATCTATTGACTCCCAAAGAATGCCATAAAAGGTAGTGATGGTGGCTAGGGATGGTAGCAAAAGGATGATATGATATGGGTGGAACAATGGGGTCGAGGTGTTCAATTGACAATCCCGAGAGCATTTCTTTCATATAGTGATCCTATTTTTCTAGATATCAAATAGTTAGCTAATTATGTAATAATAAGAAAACATAAGTTATGAGTTACTTTTCTTGATGTATTAGTTGAAGTTATTGTAGATGATCATTTCAGTTATTTTTCATATATTTTTTCTTGATTTTAAGGATAAAAATATTTTAAATATAATTTTTTCATAAATCATGCAGCAGAATCGACCAATTCAACCACTTGAGCTAAAACTTCATAATTCCAGTTGAATCAGTCGATTCAGCCAATTTCAGTGCTACCAAACAAGTTTAGATTAAATGTATTATGAGCCTCTTAGCTTATATGGAAACTTAAGTTACTTCAACAATTCTACCATGTATAAATTTAGGACCATTCTTGGTGTACACAAGATGTA